TGGCTGGCTTGCCGTTTGGCTGGCTGGGTGGTTGGCTGGTTGGCTGGCTTGGCTCGTCGGCTGGTTGGCTGGCTGGTTGGCTGCTGGCTGGTTAGCAGGCTGGCAGTCTGGTTGGCTGGCAGGCTGGCTGACTGGCTGGCTGGCTGGTTGGCAGGCAGGCTGGCTGGCCGTTTGGTCGGCTGGCTGGGTGATTGGCTGGTTGGCTGGCTGGCTGGCTGGCTGGCTGTCTGGCTCGTTGGCTGGCTGGCTGTCTGGCTGGCTGTCTGGCTGGTTGGCTGGCTCGCTGGCCGCCTAGCTGGCTGGCTGGCCTGGTTGACTTCTGGTTGGCCGGCTCGCTGGCTGGCTGTCTGGCTGGCTGTTCGCCTGGCTGGCTGGCTGGCTGGCTGCCTGGCTGGTTGGCTGGCTGGCTGGCTCGCCAGCCGTCTGGCTGGTTGGCTGGCTGGCTTGCTGGCTGGCTTCTGGTTGACTTCTGGTTGGCTGGCAGGCTGGCTGGCTGTCTAGCTGGCTGTCTGGCTGGTTGGCTGGCTCGCTGGCTGGCTGGCTGGCTTGCTCCTGGTTGACTTCTGGATGGCTGGCTGGCTGGCTGGCTGGTCGGCTGGCTGGTTGGCGGGCTGGTTAGCTTGCTGGTTGGCTGGCTGGCTGGCTGGCTGGCTGGCTGGCTGGCTGGCTGTCCGGCTGGTTGGTTGGCTGGCCGTCTGGCTGGCTGTCTGGCTGGTTGGCTGGCTCGCTGGCTGGCTGGCTGGCTGGCCCCTGGTTGGCTTCTGGTTGGCTGGCTGGCTGGCTGGCTGGCCCCTGGTTGACTTCTGGCTGGCTGGCTGGCTGGCTGGCTGGCTGTCTGGCTGGCTGGCTGGCTGGCTGGCTGTCTGGCTGGCTGGCTGGCTGGCAGGCTGGTTGGCTGGCTGGCTGGCTGGCTGATTGGCTGGCTGGCTGGCTGGCTGGGAGGCTGGCAGGCAGGCTGGCTGGCCGTTTGGTCGGCTGTCTGGGTGGTTGGCTGGTTGGCTGGTTGGCTGGCTGGCTGGTTGGCTGGTTGGCTGGTTGGCAGCCAACCAGCCGCCAACCAGCCGCCAACCCGCCGAATGGCCGTGGTTGATTCGTGGTTGGTTCTGGTTGGAAATGCGGCCAAAACCCGTGTAAGTGGTGCTCAAAATACACATGTTTTGCCCGCATTCTGGTTGGGTCTCGGTTGGGTTTTGGTTGGGTTTGGGATGAAGTTGCTCTTACACGTTGTAAAGCCTCCCCCTCGTGATGATATCGTGTGGATATGAACGGACTTTACACACATACACACACTCCACAGAGGTCCTCTGGAGGCCTTCCTGTCGTGAAGGGGAATTTCTCTGGCGAAGACTTGTATAAAGCAACTTATTTTTTCCGCCACCGGGGGCGCCTGTCCCAGGGCGGCTGCAAAGTTTATACCTGACATGCCACCGTAGAGGTATAAACTTTCCGGCCGTCTTGGGACAGACGTCCCCGACGGCGAAAAAGACATACTGCATCGTCCTTAGCCCGCTCCAGTATGGTGGGTTTGTGCGGCGTCGGCGCGCGCGAAGGTTTTCGACAGTGCGTCGACTGCTCAATCTTGCACCGATCGCGGCCCCAGTCGTTCAAGGTTGATTTCAACCAGGTCCAGCGGCGTTACCGTGCCCATCCATGCTTCCGCGTCGCAGACTGCGAGCCTCGGACGGTTTCGCCGGCGCCGCCAGGGCGCCAACGCCGCACGAGCCTACCGCATGTCTGGGCCCTTCCCTGTGACCGGTAAACGTAGGCACAACTTCCAAGGTCCCGAGGCCCGGTGCGTAGCAGGAATCGGACGCGGCGCGCATCGCGCGCGGACGTCTGGGGCAACCCCAAGCGGGAAGGGCCACCCTACTTGTCAAACAAAGTCGACATGTTTCTTCTCAGTGGTGATTTTCTTGTCGTCGGCTTTGCGAAATGCGTGGCAGGAAGGGGGCGCGGTGCACATCGCGCGCGACGGGCCGAAATGTCGCTATCAATTCGGCGCCGCGCGCATGTTTTCTGAAAGTTGCGCTCCCGCTAAGGCGCGGCGCGCATTTTTCTCTCGCCAATTCGTCGAGCACCAGGGCCCCCTGGGGCCTCCCAGGGTCTCCTGGGACATCCTGGGGCTTCCCGGGGCTTTCCCAAGGCCTCGTGGATCCTCTTGGAGCCGCCTGAAATATCCTGGGGTTTCTTGGGGTTCCCCGGGGGCTTCCTGACACTTCCTATGGCTTCCTGAAGCCTCCTGGAATTACCTGGGGCTTCCTGGGCCCTCCTGAAGCCTCCTGGGGCCTCCTGGGGGTCGCTGGGGTATCTCCTGACGCCTCCTGGGGCCTCCTGAGGCTTCCTGGGGCCTCCTCGGCTCGTGCTGAAATGTCAGCGCAGTCTTTGAGACGCGCCAGGGATTTCTTATCGGTAGCCGCCATCGCGGCTGCATCAGCTGTGGCAAACCACCTTGCCGATCTGATTTCGGTCCCCAGTTGCGCCAGCACTGTTTCTTATGTTGTGGGAGGACGGGTGGGAATGGGCATGCCATTCTTGACTCGCTCGAGCTGGCTAGCTTGACTCCTATTCCTCCTCCTCCTCCTCCTACTTCTACTTCTACTTCTTCTACTACTACTACTACTACTACTACTACTACTACTACTACTACTACTACTACTGCTACTACTACTACTACTACTACTACTACGACTACTGCTACTACTGCTACTACTGCTACTACTACTACTACTACTACTACTACTACTACTACTACTACTACTGCTACTGCTGCTGCTGC